CTGTGATTAATTTTTTTTATAATTTGAGGAAATTAGATGCAATATTGTGATTAATGCTGAAAATTCCATTCTGTATCACAAGTACTGTTTTTGGATTAAAGTAAATCATTATTATTATTAGCTCCACCATTTCAGAAGGAGATATTCAGCTGATTAACTGAATACTGATGCCCCGTCATTTCACTCATCATGTTAACTAAAGTAAGCAACTTCGGGAAGCAAAGTGACAGTAATGAAAGGCCCTTGATTCACCACAAGTACATAAATACACTGAAACTGCTATAAAAGTGAACTGGTTGAATATCATTAGTATGTACTATGTCTCAATATAGTCCTTATTGAAAGATAGGAACCTCAGTTATTGTATTATGATTCCAGCATATTTTCTCAGCAAACCCAGATCTTTGACCTTATAGTTTAGCCTATCATTAAATACAACTAATATTTCTAGGAGTGAGGATGGCATACAGAATCTCCTTCTAATAAAAGTGATTCATATTTAATTAAGTTAAAAGGTTTCCATGGGATTGTTTGGGTCATCAGTTATCTGTCTCTCAGATTTGACTTTCCTGCCACCGTACAGAAACCACCTGGATTTCAACACAGTAATGTGGAAAAGTTAGCACACGATTAGAAGACCATTTATTCAAGCCAACAGGTAAAACAACAGGATCCGAAGTTAATTCACGTGTAGAATTATTTACGATAGAGTTGGTAAAAAAACGCCAACACAGTTCACAGCAGCACTTTATTTCGCCCTCCATCCTGTTAACTAGCAAACGATGCACGCTAAACGAGTATTTTGCGTGCAACTAACAGGATACTTATCCCTGTAAGCAAGATACTAAATACCATAAAATCGCTAAACGTCAAAAGCTGTTTATTGCTTATAAGTTACACTGGTCCAATGAGTAGTGAATGCTGATTAATACAACGCTATTTGGATAGTCCTGGATGATACACATAGTTCCTCAGCTCTCCCAAGACGTGTTGTTTAAACACTACTCCAAGGTCAGAAAACTGATGGCGCTGAGTATGGTGTCCTGGCCGTTTTGTCCTCTCTAAATGTAGGGCTATACGCCTCTATACTTTTGGGAATTATGTACATAAATTCAAGAATGACAAATAACATTCCTCCTGGTTATCATGTTGAAGTTGTGGGAGATGCTAGATTCGTAGTGCCCTTCAGGTACTCCAATTTAAAGCCCATCGGTTCAGGAGCTCAAGGTTTTGTTGTGTAAGCGGACTATTATCTGTTTATTCAATATATACATGCAGTCCTTGGGATATCTTAAAATTTACCTGAAAATTTTACCCTGGATTCGAGTTATTTAGCGGGTGACTCTGTCATGCACATGGTCCGGGGTTCGAGCCCACGCCGGCGCACACCTGATATCTATGGTCGGCCTGCGAAATTTGGGCTACCGATATCCATGCTGAAAATTCCATACTTGTATCAAAAATACAGTGTGGAATCAAGCTGTAAATCTAAAAAAAATCATATTTTCGAAGACTGAGATTCGCGAATAGTTTCCATGTTTCGATGCATTTCCCTGGAGCTTTCCCATATATCTGCCGAGAATTGCCTCGAAATTTTTATCAGGTAGAAACCTCTCTGGTTCGTAATATCTCTTGGACAAGGGTATTTTTGTTTTCTGAATTTCTGGGTAGATGAATATCCAGAGATGATTCCGTTCAAAATCCTAATTCTCTGTAGTAATATGTTGTGTATTCACAAGCACTTGTTGTTTTTGCTGAACAGTGGTCTGGTTATGTAGTAGTCTGTTGGTCTTAGAAAAGCTTTCAGCTGACTCACTAGCGTGGATAACTTTCAGTCAGTGTACGCGTGTAATTTATGTAACAGAAAGATGAACAGAGGTAGGAATCTAGCAGACATGCTCTTAATTCCCACTCATGTTCCGAAAGTCAGGATATACTGAGAAAAAAGAGGGTCACTACAGATTTCCAGTTGTTAGATGTAAAATTCTGTTTGTTCGCTTATGAGACTGATTCGACCTACAATGAAACAGTAATTGCCTACGCCCCACAGTAGATAGTACCGCATTACAGTTGGACGCCACATATGTCCTTACCCTTCTAGAACGATATGTTAATGATGCCATAGTTGCAAAGTTCTGAGATGGTTTACCTGTTTAGTTATGTCGAAGTAAATTATATGCCCAGTTTATTTTGGGTGATAATTTATTAGTCAGTTTTGCATATGCGTAACCTGCGGCTTTCAGCTGGACCATTGCGTAGTTTACATATGTGCTTTATGTTTTTCCTGGTATATCTAATCTCAATACACTTGCCGCATCACCCAATTTTACCGAATTGTGTTTATTCAGTTAAACTTTTTTTATGTGTAGGTGCTTGTTTGCATTTTGAGTCACACTCGTTTATTAACGGTTCATAATTTTCCTGGTTTAAATTAAATCCGCACATTTGTGCAAAGTTCTATGTCGAAAACAGACAGACAGACAGAAACAGCAAGTTAGTTCACATATTTACCTTGGTGAGCTAATAAGGACTTCTTGGTCATGTCTGCACGTGCATTGTACAAGTTCAATCCATGGGTTCATTCACTAGATAGCTCAACAAGTTTAGTGGCACTCCTGGAAACTGAAGGCGTTCAATATCTTGTTTGTTGTTGTTGTAAATGGTCATTTTGCATTGAGAGTTGCGACAATCTCATCTCTTTTGGAAGGCAGTTTAAGGCAGACATAGGAGTAGAAAATCTCTAAGCGTTGGTTCACTAGCCTAGGGTCTCATGCCTGAATCAGGTGGCATAAATCCTAGAACAATTGCCTCAGTTTATCATATTCGAGTAGTTGAAGGTTGACTACTTTCTTCTTTAAATGGGTGGCGTCACATACAGCCTGGCCACCGAGTTAAAGTTGGTTGGGCTAAAGGGTTAGTCAGTTTTCTTGGTAAACGTAGATTCTGCAATTAATTGTGTCCTCTAAGCTAGTTGGCTTAATTACGAATCCTGCGTCTTCATTCTGGAAAGCATCTTTGGCGCAAGTTTTAGCATTAAATAATCTAATTTAAATTCTCCATGAATGACAGAATTGTGTCTCCTGGCAACCATTTTCATGACTGGTAGTCGATTTACGGCTGTGTCGATCATTTTTCATTGACTTGAATTTTGAACATTCTCGTTACGTGATTTACTTTTTATTAGCTGCTGAACTCGGTCTATATTAATATGTTTGTTAATCACTGATTCGCTTGAGTACCAGGCTTCTCAGCAGTTCGCTCCGTCCTTCTCTATGGCTCTGAAACATGGCCAATACGCGTTGAAGACATGAAAAGGTTGACTGCTTTCGATCAGAGATGTCTGCGATCTCTGTCTCACGTTAGGTGGTTTAGTAAGGTAAGTAATGTTGACGTTAGGCGTAGAGTGTTGGGCAAAGAGGGAAAATCAATCGACGAGGTTATAAAGTTACATAGACTGAGATGGCTAGGTCAGGTGGTGCGTATGCCTAACCATCGCCTCCCCCGACGACTGGCATTACTAGCTGATATAGGTGCAGGTTGGAAAAGAGTAAGTGGTGGCCAAACAAAAACATGGCCTCATCAATCCATGAAATCCTTGACAGTTAAACTGAGTCAGGTAGGAAGATGCAGACTTCCGGGTTGGGGCCCTCGGAACTCTAGGAATCAATGGCTGGAGACAATAGGTGACATGGCTCAAAATCGTTGTCAATGGCCAGCGCAGATGTATTCAGTCTCTGTAATCTTTCATATTCCTCTCTACCACTACCCATTCTGTTTCACTCTTATACTTGTCAAACTCTATTGATTCTCTTCACTCATCTTCTTGTCTACCTCTGTGTGCTATTTGGAACGTGGCAACTCGAACTGGTGCACTTCGGTGCGAAGTTCTATGTTGAATCCAGACAGACAGACCAGGCTTCTAGGAATTCCCTGGTAATTTTGGTGTTTCTTCTGTTTAAAATTTCGACATTATCCCAGTCAAACTAGTGTCCATAATTATCTACATGCATTGATATGAAAGAATATATCATGTCTTTTTATATCTAATTTGTGTTCTTGGATTCTGATTCCAAGGGGTCGCCCACTTTGTTGATCGATGTAGTGTCTGCTGCAGTTCATACAATTTATTTTGTAAATGGTAATTTTATCCTCTTTTGCTGTCGGTTCTTTCGGTTTGCACAATATCGAATTAAGTGATTCGACTGGCTTGTGTGCTATATCTATTTCATACGGTTTCAATATTCCAGCTGTTACTTCAGAGGTATTTTTTATATATGGTAGGATGAATTTTCTTGCAGTCTTTAATGATGGTTTCTTGTTGGAGTTGTGACTGGATTTTAAACTGTTTGATAAAATTGTGAAGACATCCATTCTTTTTGAGGACGCTTAGTAGGTATTTTTCCTCTATTCTCTTCAACGCTGGAGAATTTGAATCAGTTCATTTTATGCTAAAACTTGCGCTGAAGATGTGCAGAAGAACGACGAAAGCTTCGTAATTAAACCAACCAGGTCAGAGAACACAACTTATTGCAAATCATCCACTTGAGCTACAAATCTCTATTATTTCAAACGTAGATTCTAATTGAGGCATACTAGTTAGCGGGCTCTCAGGAAGTAATTGGTCTCATTGAATAGAAACCAAAGAGACAGTCTTGTTGTTTTGTGTATTCGTCTATTTTGTGTTTTAAAGTTGTTCTATTTTATTGTACCAATTTTAATTATTTTGTGTAGGCGAGGAAACACTCTTCATGACCTGAGACTTAGTTTCTTTTAACTAGCGTCTTTCGCTTTGTCCACAGTGTCCTTTGTTGCACATAAGTAAGCACCTGTTCGTCAGTCAAAGCGAGGTGAAATCCTGCATCCCAAGAGACTGATGTAAGTCAGTAATTCCGGTTTATGAGAAAGGAAACAAGATTCATGTGGATCATCTTTACAGACGTAGAAACTAGAATCTTAGGGTCCATGATTATACAAAGGCTAATTGGGACTCAGGAAGAACACTCTACAAAGACCGTGCAAGTTTCAGATCCTAGCAGGAATGCGTTGATCATGTCTTTACCCTACAGTGTGTTCGGCAAAACATATGTAGATATCCGACGGTGTACATATTTCCTGGTCTGAAGACAATGCTTGACTCCTTCAATCAAGAAATATTTGAGCAATGTCTGAATTTGAAGGGATTGCCTAACATATATTATTTTGACCGAGGAATTTTATTTTAACATGTACGGGCGTACCTGGACTTATAAAGTCGTCGTCTAAAGTGACAGCTGTCAGTAGTGTCTACCATGGATTCCTAACATTTGGAAAGACTTGGTTGACTGAGAGCGCTAACGCATTCTAAACCTTTTGGGTAAAAAGCAATGGTCCATTGAGGATTTATTATTACTCACAATTTGTGAATTTATTGTACTTTCATGGTCATCCTATCGTGAAACCATTGTTGCTAAGTATAAATTACCTTGAGAAGGATATCAGGACACTTGAATAGTGTCGATGGAAGTCATATTTTCCTTTTGCAACCTTCAAGTTTCGAAAATTAAAACAAAAGATTTATTGGTTTAATTCCTAATGTATGCTTCGTTAGTGATATTCTTCAATGCCACTATCATAGTAGCAATGTGATCAGTTCAAATCTACCGTTATTCTACACAGTCTTTCGTAGTTTCGAAAAAAACACGGGGTTGTCAGAATTTTTTATAGCGTCTCAGAGTTCCTTAACGTGATGCACTGATGTTAAACTAACGTAGTAGGAATGATCTTCAGTGTAGAGAGCATTCTTAATATTTAACTAAAGCATTGAAATGATGTTATTTCGTAGTTTCTTTTCGATCGCTGCATAAACAGCATGGTTAACAATAACATAATAGACTGTATGAACAATAATCAGTTATATAATACAAATGTACATACTAACAGCCAATCGTATTTTAGTAGGTCAGTTCATGGTAGGCGAAAGGTTGTGAAGGCCATTGTCTTCTGTGAACACATTATATGGGATGCATGTGATTGACACTGTTTCGACTATCAACTTTCATAACCTTGAATTGGAGTTATATGAAGTAAATACGAAGCAGTCAATAATAACTGATTTTGTGACTAACCATCAACAAATGCTTTGCTTTCTCTATGTAACTTAACAACTATTTAGCAAGATGCTCCTTCAAACGATATTTTAATATTCTATTGGTTGTACTTATATTTGTGTTCTATCAACTTCAGAGGAACTTGTAGAGACGGAGTCCAAAGACTTTTATCCGTTAAATGGAGGCCGAATATGCATTAAAAATGTTCGCGATGGATGTAAGGAGAAGGGAAGCAGTATAGAATGTGTAATTGATAGCCGAATGAAACCCTTGAGCTACCGACTGCAGGATTCGATCACCCTTAAACGTTAGGTAGCTTAATAAAGGCGGGTTTCTCTGTCATGGAAGCTGTCTTTTTTGACAGTAGTCTATCTTAGTTGCTAAAAAGCTGAATATGTGCCTCGTAGCTCATCGACGAATGTATCGCTTGTGCAAATTTTAGGTGTAGGCACGGAGAACAAGTATTTCATTAGGGAATATTTCTACTGCATTGAAGTCAAACACCTGGAATAAAGGTATTGTCCACTCGATGTCTGCTTTCGAAATATTGATCGCCTAATTGTTCCATCATACCCTTTGGTTAATGAAATATCTAGGAATCCCACTTGAATGAATAGAAGACCATAAGTTCAGCAAACAGTCACTTTTCGGCTAATTCATTTTCATAACTGTACAATCGCAAATATATATGGTTGTTTTGTATGTGTGTATGTGCACATTAAATCTGTCAAACGAAAATACAATTAATAAGTTCAGATGAATTGGATGTTGATATACGAGGATAGTAACAAGAGAGATAAGTTGTCACACATGATTGTTAAAGAAGAGTTATGTGATGGCGTGAATAGTTTGATGAAAGAGTTGTGCTCAGGGTGTACATGGAAACAAAATAACATACGGAATTACGCAAGGGTTTTAAGTAGTCAGAAAAATAAGCATACAAACAAAAGTTGAGTCAAATCAACGGAGTTGTTACCATGAGAGTAGAAGAGGTTAGATAATTTTCTCTTGTATGCATAGTTCTGGTTCTTCCAACTGAATAGCTAGGGCTTCTGCGATGCAAAGAAGACGGAAGCGTATTGTCTTTGGAAGGTTGTTCTTCACTTTGTAGATTACTTTGAAGCGGGAGGCGTTTGTTGAGATGGAATGACCAGTGTTGACGAGATGTTCGATTATTACACTCCCCATACGGCCACTACTTCCCTTCTGCAGCCACACTGGATAGTGCTCTTTGACCCTTTTTGACAGGGTGCGCGTTGAACGACCGATGTACCTGGCTCCGCAGCAACAGGTGAACTGATATATACACAGAAGTGGTTAGGTGCTGGATCTTGTCCTTTGGGCTTCTGTAGATCAGCGAGTGACTGGAGAACACTACTCTCAGTGTTGCCACAAAGAAAGTTCTTCTTGAAAAAGTCGAAATTTTCCTCCCAAGGACATCATTGAGTAGGTCACCTTTGAAGTCGACAATCATATACAGTATCTTTTTTGGCATGGATAGTGCCACATGCTTTTGGATTTTCTATTTGATATTTATGTCTACGAATCTTGATGGATAACTGTCTTGTATGAAGGTTTCTTTCAGGAAGCGTAGTTCTTCTTACAGGGTGTCAGAGCTGCAGATGTGTCGGACGCGGGTGGCAAGAGATCTAATTAGGTTTCTTTTTCGAATGATTGGTACCCAGCTGTAGAAGCTTGTCAGTTGGCCGTTCCATGTGGGTCTCCTATGGATGGACCTTCTTCAAGTTCCTTCAACTCTCCTTGTAAGTTCAACATCAAAAAAAGGGATTTTAGATTCGTTTTCAATTTCAAGAGTGAACTTTGTAGCTGAATGGCATTTGTTGAATATTTATAGTAACTGATCTAGTTCTAGTAAAGGTCTCAATCAACAAACGTCTCCTGCTTCAAAGTAATCTACAAAGTGAAGAACAACCTTCCAAAGACAATACGCTTCCGTCTTCTTTGCATCGCAGAAGCCCTAGCTATTCAGTTGGAAGAACCAGAACTATGCATACAAGAGAAAATTATCTAACCTCTTCTACTCTCATGGTAACAACTCCGTTGATTTGACTCAACTTTTGTTTGTATGCTTATTTTTCTGACTACTTAAAACCCTTGCGTAATTCCGTATGTTATTTTGTTTCCATGTACACCCTGAGCACAACTCTTTCATCAAACTATTCACGCCATCACATAACTCTTCTTTAACAATCATGTGTGACAACTTATCTCTCTTGTTACTATCCTCGTATATCAACATCCAATTCATCTGAACTTATTAATTGTATTTTCGTTTGACAGATTTAATGTGCACATACACACATACAAAACAACCATATGTATTTGCGATTGTACAGTTATGAAAACGAATTAGCCGAAAAGTGACTGTTTGCTGAACTTCCAGTCTTCTGTCCATTAATGTTGGAGTCCCACTTTGTCATTCAAGTGTAATTAAGATATCTCAGGAATATTTGGATGACTGTCAACGATTAAAATGTGGTAGTAGTGTCGTGACTTTGGGATTCGAATTAAGTTGCAATTTTCCTATGGTTTTTAGTTAGGATCTGGAGATTGTTTAACGAGGGATTCGCAGACATGTACTAATACTAAATGGGTTGGATTCAATGAAAATGGTTAATAAATCACACTTAAAACGTATTTAGTAGTGCATCAGCAAATAATTTCTATGGCACACTGGGTTAGTCATGTAGTTTACGTCGTTTAACTGCACTATTTGTTTTGGAACTTTTATCAGTCTTAAGTCTGGTTGTTTAAACAATTTATGGATGTAATGTTCTTTTTCTTTTCCAAATGTATTCGAATTCCTGTGAATAACTGCACAATGAATATATTGTATCTCTTGTATATGTGTGTTTTTGTACCGCTCATGGATGTAACATAAATTAGGCTAATTTAAGATTCAAATGGGAAGTGACGAGTGGGTGGTTGGTGTGAGGATGACGTTGAGGATATCGTGTGAGGAAGAGATGAGAGAGTTTGCTCAACAATCGTGGACCCAGATGAAGAGGACAGCAGAAAACAGAACAAAGAGGAGATGTGTTGTTGAAGACCTATGTTCTACTCGGAACGTAAGGGAATAATAATAATAACATAATAGTATTAAGGTATATTTTAAAACTTCATATTCTGATATTATTCGCCCTTTCTTTTTACTTGTGTCTATGTAATTATCACATGTACAGAAGAAATAAAAGCGTTTTATGCTATACATTTATTAATTATATCTTTATTCTATGTTAATCTCTTCTGTCTACAGAGCTGCCTATGATTCGGTGCTAAAACAGGATGTAGCAATAAAAAAATTGGCTCGCCCCTTTCAAAATGTCACACACGCCAAACGTGCCTATCGTGAATTTGTCCTGATGAAACTGGTGAATCATAAAAATGTTAGTGCTGTATTTCAAGTCTTTATTCTTAAATTTACGCTTACTTTTTTTCGTTTTCACTTGTGCGTACATTTTAAAGTTTTTCTAGGTGATGTCACCTAACCACTGAATCCTGGTGAATTATAACATGATCCGTGCACGAGGAGTGGTGCAGCGGTAGACTGCTCTTCAACCATACGCAGTGCCGGCGGACACCTTTACGCACTCCCTCTCCCCCTTCCAAGCCGGTTGTGAGCCCGGTAAAGAGGAAAGGTTGGGCGTCAGGCTAGCAACCTCATTCTGTATAGTAGAATAAACCTACTGCTACTGGGAGTTCAATGCTAAAAGATTGAAGTCACTCTGTGTGTTCCACTTGGCGCGCTAAGGAATACGAAATAAAAATAACATGGACCGTGAACTTTTGACAATAAATATGTTATGGTAGCTTAATGTTGTAAACTGAATTTTAGATTTTCTCGTCGATTGATCGGACTGAAGTGCTCGGTCTCAGATTGAAATGCCGGTTTCTTGTGCAGCTTCGGCGTTTGAAACTATGGGCTATCGGTCCAAGCCCCGGTGGGAACATCATCACCCACTGCGGAATGCAGTTATACCCACCGACGAGTCCCAAATAGGACGAAATGCGCGTTGTCCTGGATTCCACTGCTAGTCACCATCCACCAATTAATGCTGTAGACTGTTGATTTTCGTTACAAGCCTATATCAGCTATAGGTCTATTGTTAAACAAAGAATCGCTAGATATTAATTTCGCTCCACGTTGAAAATTTTCGCTACGTACTGACAACCGTCTAGCTACGAAGTGAATATACTACCACCCAGCTAATTGGTTGGATATCAGTGGCATGTGATTTTAAAACTCTGCATGTTTGTGTGATATACTGTCGGAGTAAAAGTGAACTAGCTTTGGGATGATATTCATGAAGATTTGGTTGGAGGTGGTAAACGATGGTATGCACTAAGTCAATTATTCACAGGTGAAATTATATGCCACTTAGAGCACTATATCATTAGTTGATGATTGGATTTGGGAGTTATGCGGTTTTTTATTTTGATGATAAAGGCTGCCTCACGATTTTATTTATTTTCTTTTCCTACGTGATTTCAATTTGGAACCATGATCTACCTTCATCATAGCATCAATCAAATATTCAAATGTCGGGAATTCTTTCGGTAAAGTGAATATTACTGAATTGTGGTGAACTCCTACTTTAAGTGAAAATGCAGTGATGCAGAATGAATAAATGCCGAAATTTTAGCACCTGTTTTGTTTTAGATAAATTTCGGTAACTGAAGATAAAATTAAAAAAAAATATTATCGATTCACTTTGTGTTTCCTTATCGTCGTCTCATCAGTCAGCAGCAGCTGCTTAAAGATTCAAACCAGAGACAACTTCAAAAAAACAACTTTAAAAAGAGTTAGTACACTTAATAGGTTGAAAAATCTTTCAAACGAAAGCAAAACAGAAATGAATTGAAATGAAATAGAAAAGAAGGGTTAAATTCATTTACTGTCCACGTAGGTATTTTTGACGAATTACTATGGACAACCATCAGCCCTCATATCATGTGTGTGGATCATAGTTTCGCACACGCTTGAATCTCTCCTGGGTCTCAGAAAGTGATGTTGAATTGATGGTTTTGAATCTCAATTGCATAAATTAATTATTCTTAATATATTAATTAGCTTAAGTCTTCTCCAAAATGTGTCCGATTCTTTTAGGAACATGATTTACAACCAGCAATTCACAGGTTCGAACCCCATTCCATTTACTAAGAGCTGAATAAACAAAAGTAGTATCACTACTCTCCGCACAATAGGTTTCTGCCCACTGGATTCACATGTTTTCTGGGAGATTCGAACTCGTGTCATTGAGTACAGCAATCGGAGATGTGATCACTGGGTTCTTCAAACCTCTGATTGACTTTTTGTAGAGCTGGTGTGGTTTCGTTGATTGGTCACTGGGGTGTGGTAGTGAACGTCAGTAAACATGAGAACTGTAGCTCAAGCTGGTAGCTTTCAACTACCTAACATCAATTCAAAATGTCTTGTAATTAATGCTGGCTGGATGGTCACCTATGTTGGTGACGAAGTTAACTGATGAATTTAGTTGGCACTAATGACTACTAGACACATAACATTGGTTAGTCCTCAGCGGTCAACCAATATAACCGGGTAGTTGTCCACTGAATCCTTATCGACTTCAAATAATGTGTGAAGTGTTAGCATTACTTTCAGGTACATAAAATGAACTTTCGTTCCCATAATGAATTGGTTGGAATGGTAAAACAAAGTATTTCTTTCCGGTTATTCTATCCTATTAATTATTGTCTTGGGTTCCGAGTGGAGCATAGGCCTTCAACAGCATATTCCCACTTTGCACTGTTTTCTGCAGTCCTCTTCAGTTGGCCTCACGGTCGCCTATAAGCTTTCATCTCCTTTCATCCCCTTTCATCCCACACGATGTCTTCCATGTCACCATCAGATCCACGCCTAACTCGTTTTCCCCTAAGATGTTGGCTTGGAGTGCTCTGTTACTCGACGGTCTCCTCAGAGTGTGTCCGATCTGTCTTCATTCTCTTTGAAATATTTGTTGAGTAAAAGGTTCTTTGATTAGTTCGTTCCCAGAGTTTCATTTTGCTAATTCTTTCTGGTTGGCCATTTGATCTTTAGTGTTAGGCCCAGAGAAGGTAACTGTTGATAAAAGTTCTCAGTAACCTGTTAGAAAATGCTTTTCTTGACGCGCCAAGAAGAAGTGAGTTAAGATTAGTGTAGAAAATCGGAATTCCGTTCGTTATGCTGAGTGATGAAAGTCAGCTTTGGTTTTACTGATTCTGGTTTCGACATCCTGATCCGTTCCGTCTGCCCGTAGTTGAAACGATGATGATGATGCCTAGATAAGTGAAGGAAGCAACCTTATTCAAATTTCCACCTTTGAATGTGTGATTGGCGCTTGTTGTTGTTGTTGTTGGTTGTTTGGTCATCTCCATCACTTGAAGTTCTCCCCTTGCTGCTTCTTCTGCCAGTTTTTTTAGTTTTCGCCTGTAGGTTTTGAAGTTCGTGTGACATTCGATATAAATCATCTGCATAGTTCAGATGTTTTAAAGTCTTCTTATAAGTCCAACATATTTCTGTCTTGTCACTGCCATTGTGATGTGACCGAAAGCTGCTACCTTGACGTGGTGGTCGGGCTTGAACACCGCAATGACCTAATCAAGCTATACTGGCTGAGACTTATGTCTCTTGAGGTTCTACCATGCCAGGCAGGTTGTTTGGATAGCGGTTAAACAAAAAGCAGCTACCCAATCCAACATCATGTCCAATACAAAATTACAAAATTTCATGCCGGATCGGCCGTGGCCCGGATTAACAACGACCGCGCTTCCTGCTGCCGTGTCACAGGGCGGGAGTGATAAATCTGCTACTGAGACACACCAAACAAAAAAGAACGAACAAAAACAGGCCGCGTGTGACCGGCCTCAAGCAGTTGTCCCCTGGGCTCTGCGGTCACGCAACCAACTTCCACGGTGTGGGCAGCCGGGAAGTAACAATCACCCTCACAATCCGAAATGCACACGAAAACTCATACAAGAAATGCAATGAAATTTTGATGGATTAAAGTGAAGAAATCAGTGGAATAAGTCAGTAATAGTTTCTTTTTGAATCCATAATTCAGACTTCATTGGCGATAGTATCAGCATTTTAAAGTATTTTTTTCTGTTCAGCACCTTAAAAGACTTAAATGTAGTGTCCTGTATCGTCTGGGCACCGAGTTTTGACACTACTAAACGTAGATGAACTCCTAAGACGTAGGCTCTTTGTTACGTGTTTAGTAGTTTTGTCCCTCTTTCTTCTCTTGCTTCGCGTGCTACACGGAATGTGGCGACTTGAACTTCCGCACATTTGTGCAAAGTTCTATGTCGAAAACAGACAGACAGACAGACACTGCCATACACACAGTCCCCTCGCATGATAAACTCCACCACAATTAGGATTATTATTGTGACTGGTAGATGAGGCAGCTTTGTCCTACTTCTGTCATCACACTTCAATGTCTTCGCTGAGTTTTCCGTTGTAGAAAATAAAATTAAAAGAGCGTAAAGCAGTTGGAGAATTTTACTCTGTCTCTCAGTTTGATTATTATTATTTTGATAATTATTTAATTGTTTGTTAAATACTGTCGATTATGACTTTGTTTTCTATTTTTTTTTAATTTTCTGTGTTCCCTATACTATACAGATCATATCATTACTAAACGCATTTACTCCTCAACAAACACTACAAGATTTCCAAGATGTATATTTAGTCATGGAATTTATGGATGCGAATTTATGCCAGGTAAAAAAATATTGGTTTCACTTGTTCATGCTAACCATCCTCTCATGTATTCCTGTTGTTGAAATATAATATAAATTAATGGTTTATATGTGAATCTTGATCTGGCGCCTTTGCGACGTTAGCCTGGCTGTCAAAGGTCGGGTATACAATGCTTCGGTACGCCTGTGAAACCTGGCCTCTCCTAGCTGAAGATGTGCGGCGACTCTGCGTGTTCGATAATCGCTGTCTCCACAGGATTGCTTGCGCTCGATGGCATCATCGCGTGAGTAATTCCGAGGTTCGGCGGCGTGTCTTCGAAAACAATGGAGATCACCATTTGTTGAGTGTCGTCATCTGGAAACACCGGCTCCGGTGGCTTAGACATGTGCTGCGAATGTTATCCCAGAGGCTTCCGTACAGGTGTCTGTTCGCTAGCCCTGGGACGGGATGGAAAAGGCGGAGAGGTGGTCAGTACAGGACGTGGTGTCGTGAGACGAAGGATGTTTGTGCTAGATTAGCATCGGTTGGTGCGTCACGACTCCCTGGTTTGGGGTCCGCGAGATAGCTCGAATCGATGGTTCGAAACGTTATCGGATATGGCCAGGAATCGTAGTCAATAGCGAACGTGTTGCAACTTCCTTCTTTCTTCCCTTCCCGGTGATAGTTAACGAATACTGTTTGAACTTGTTAAGCATGACTGTTTTCCTTCCAGATGAAGTTCTTTATTCGCTCTCTACTTATATTTTTACTTTTAATCTATGTTGTTTTATTATTGTGTGGCGCATCTTTCTTGGTGCCACATTGTACCAAGTTTTTTCTGCGTTTAAATGATAAAAACAACCATGCAGGTGGTTTGGGGTTCTATTCCCGATCACCGACGCACTCCTTTACCTCTATAAGTCAGTAATAACATCGGCAAAAAGGGAAGGTTGGGCATGAGACTAGCAACCCGATCCTGTAAAAATAAATACCACTGCTACCGAAAGTTCAGGCCTGTAGCTTCAAGCCTTGGGATAGTGAAGGAACAAAAAGAATGCTTCTTGATATTTGATGAATAGGGAGTGTTTTCACTTGAGAGGAAAACTTAAACAGAGTTAGTTTCTATGAGAAATTTAAACAAGGCATTAAGAAGACAAATATCGTGAGATGATAAATCTTCATTTAGTATTTTCTCTGTAGTCAGTCGCTTTACAATTAGCATGGTTCACAATAATACGCATAAAATGTGTTTGTTTGACCAATTACTAAATTATATAAAATAAAAGTGCATACTAACAGCCATTCATATTTTAGTAGGTCAGGTGGTCAGTCCATGATATGCAAAGGTTGTGAAGACCATTCATTGTCTTCTGTGAACACATTATTTGGGATGCATGTGATTCATACAAAGTGTTTCAACCATCACCTTTCATAACCACCTTGAAATGAAGTTATGTGAAATGAATGAGAAGCAGTCAATAAGTGTTGATTTTGTATCCAGAGGCGCCCTACAAATGCTTTGCAATAAATGATGAACATATATTCCTTCGAACGATATTTCAATATCCTATTGGTTGTACCTACAATTTCTGCTGTCTCAACTTCAGAGGAACTTGTAGAGGCGGTGTGAAGTAGAGTCCAGAGAATTTTGTCCGTTTAATGGAGGTCGGACATGCATTAAAAATGTTCGGGATGATGTAAGGAGAAGGGATGCGATGTAGATTGTGTACTTGATAGCCGACTGAAACCCTTGAGCTGTCGATTGCATGATTCGATCACCCTTAAACGTTAGGTAGCTTAATAAGGCGGGTTTCTTTGTAATGGAAGCTGTCTTTTTTGACAAGTAGTCTATCTTAGTTGCTAAAAAGCAGAATAGGTGCCTCGTAACTCATCGACGAATGTATGGTTTGTGCAAATGTTAGGGTTACTCATGGAGAACAAGTATTTCATCAGAGAACATTTGTATTGAATAGGAGTCAAATAGCAGGAATGAAGGTATTGTCCACTAAATGTCTACTTTCGAAATATTGGTCGTCTTATTGTTCTGTCGTCCCTCTTATTCATTGAAATATCTAGGAATCCAGTAATTGCCGAACAGTATTTTATTATTTTGAACCTTAGTAGTTGTCAAGCTGTACCCCAAGGAAACTATGAAATAATATCTCGCAATTGTACTGTCCTCTTAATGCCTTATTGAAAATTTGAATAGTGTTTTAAATTCAGATTTATTTTATGTAATTCAATTATCCAGTCACCATCTAATTCCGCAGGTATGTATGTATGTGTTCGCCTACTCTTCTGGAACTAGGACTCGTCGGGAAACGTATGCCGCCAAGCACCGAGAGCACCTCTCAGCTTACCTGCTGATGAACAAAGAAGCGTGTGAAGTCATTCATTCATCTATATTACAAAATATATGGTAGATAATGATCTCATAGCTTATGGTGCATACTTTAGCAAAGTCCGACAAAGTTTTCCGAAAGGGGCACGAGTACATTTGTTTTAAGTAATAGAATCTTCTTTATTCTGTGCTGTTGTTGTTCCGTTTGTTCCTCTTATCTTACTTAACTTTACGTTATCATATTTAAACTTTGTATTTTCTATTGACGACACTTCATTCATCATCTTATGGTATTTGAACATGACGAATTCGCATAATGTTCTTAATCTTCCTATGTCATCTATTTTACGCATATCTGTTGAACTTTGAGTTGATCTTTCTTCATTCATTCATATTTCTCATCACAATTTGTGATTTGTAATCATCTTACTCTGATAATATATGGAATTTTAACATTATGCATGTCACAAGGTCGATGTAGTCGCGCTAAAATCACAAATTGCTAGAAGTTAGAATTCATGCATTGGCCATTGAATCGGATCCCATTGGCTGGAATGATCTCTGACTTTGCCTTGTAAATGAATGGTTTCGGCTTCGAACTCCAGATGGTGAGTCCTAGACCAGGTCGAAATAGCTGTCTAGCACTCCCTGGTTATCAATGGTTCTCTAACTGATATCAATCCGTAGAGAAAGGTGAAATACTTCAAATTAATCTACTGTGTAAAGTATCATTAGTCCTAAGACGATTAGTGTTTGCTGCCTTCTTATTTTATTTTAAAATGATAAATAATTGTTAATTACTTATGTTCTGTGCACTGTACTTAAGTTGAATAGTATTAGTAATCATCATGTGTAATTATTGTGTCGTATATACCGTGATAACTCTATGTGGTTAAAGGGGTTGATCTATTTCATTTCGATTTCAGTAGTATCTTCAATGTGGTTGCTTCAATGTTGAAGTACCTGGAATTAACGTAGGTAGTGTCTCCTGTTAGTCTGTGAATTAAAAAATGAAAACGAAATATACGTCCGACTATATATATATTTATATATATATATATATATATATATATATATATATATATATATATATATATATATATATATATATATATATATATATTTGTGGCTCTGTGGTAGAATGCTCGCTAACCACACACACGCAGTCCCGATTCGATTCCCGACCGATGCTCTCCTAAACCTGGCTTAGTTAACTAATTGATGGTAAATTCGGAAAAGAGGAAGGTTGCCCTTGAGGTTAACAACACCGCCGCTACTGAAACTTCAAAAACTAGAAGTCCTATGCTCCACCGCTTGGAACATGAAGGGGAAAAGCTGAAGCATTAGTATTAGCTCTATATCTTTTCGATTCATATAAGCATGACAATACAAAACATGTCTGAAGGAGACACTATATCCACTGCTTTATCTCGGTAACACTTGTTCACTGTCTAAGTTTGTGAGTAGAACGATGGCCAAACGAAAACTTGAAATCTGTCCGTAAGACCTTTGACAAATAGTCTGAACCATGTAGGGGTGTGTGTGTGTGTGTAGACTACGCAATTGGGGCCGTCGGGATTCTAAGAACCGATGGCTGAGGACTGTTGGTGATATGGCTCAAGGTCGTTCTCAGTAGAAAAGATTCATCCACTGTTTGTGTTCCCCCATATCCAATGAAATCCATGTTAATATTCTTCCTTTCTCCCTCACATTTCTGCTTATTATCGTCCTTTTGAATCTCTTTATTTGTCTCTTTTGGCTTTCTTTTGTGTGCTGCATGAAGTATAGCAACTCGAACTTCTGTTGAAACTAGTCAGCCAGGCGGTCAGTTGTGAACTTGGGGGGGGGGTTGCTAGTCTAACATTCTCTCTTCACCTCACATGACCTACTATCGGCTAAGCAAGGTCTGGGAGTAAGTCGGCCGAGAATCGAACGCTTGACCAGCTGCGTCGTTGGCAGGCATTCCACCACTGAACCGTCGACTCCGCCGTTTAGAAAATACACTAATATATGGTAATGAAAATTGAAAACCGGCAACCAAACAAAGATATTTTACGCGATATTGTGGCATTTACAATTATTCCATTTTTGTAGTGAATCTTAGTGTAAAATATAATCTAGAAAGTGGTAAAACTTCAATCACACTTCGTGTGTGTGTGTGTTGTTTGATCATGCTATCATGATGCTTTCACGGAACACACACACTGTTTTAAAGTTCAGGCGTTATCTGAATAAATCACGCTTCTCTTAGCTGTTTTGATCAAAATATTGATGACCACGCTGTGATATTTCATTTCATTTTCTCCATTTTGGTATAAACATCTTTTACGCTGTACTAATTAACTGATGTACCCGGTGCATCGGTGTTTTGGCGGCAGAACTCTTGCCAACAAGTACGCACGTGGTCCGGTGGTTGATCTTCGGCCAATGCACTCCTAAACCTTGCTAAGCCTAGTGATGAGGGAAGGTTGAGCGTGAGGCTAGCAGTCATCCACCCAGTAAAAATAAAAAACCACTACTACCGAAACCTCAGTGCTCAAGTCTAGAGCCTTATGTTCCACTGGGAACGTAAAGGAATGAGATTTTAAAAAATAAATGAACTGACGTACCCACTTGGACTTACATTTAATGTTTATTTTCATTTGTATATATACATATTGTCTAACGTCAACTTACAATCTATAAGTATGCAGTATATCTCTCTTAATTATAGTATTATTATTCACTTGGGATCCGAGTGGAACATACAACGTCAACAAAACACCTGCAGCTGGCTCTACGATCGCCTCCATATCAACCTCAAAGCGACGCCTAACTCGTAGGTTTACACTCGGGTTCCACTTGAGTGGTGACCTGGTGCGGGGCTTCACCCGACGGTCTCCTCAGCGTGTGTCCAATCCATCTTTACTTTCTTCGGGATATTTGTTAAGCAATAGGTTCTCCTAATACATTTGTTAAACTTGGGCACTGCGATGGTAGGATGTAATTCCATTAAATAATTTTTTTAGTGGATATATTACACACACAGAGTGGAACAGTATGATTTACTGGATGATGTTGCGAACACAATTTTATTGGTTATAGGAGTGATTGTGAGCTGACATCAGTTATAGAACCATTGGAAAACCTGCCTTGTAGGTCACACTTGGTTGTGTAAAGGCTAGAGCTGCACTCTCAAACAAAAGGCCGAGCGATGCTGGGGACATCACTCGTACCCAATTCCCATGAAACTTTATGGTTCATGAAGCCGGCTCATCCTCCTGTAGGAGATAGCCGAAGTAAAGTAAGTAAGTAAAAACCTAGGAGTACTGGGCAGCTGTTTCGTCCTACTTTTGGCCTCTTCGTCAGCACGCGCTCACCGGGATTCGGACCCAGGACCTTCAGATTACGGGGCGAGATCGGAAACCACTGAGTCACTGGGACCTGACCTAATGGTCCATGAATTCCAACTTCTCACAATTCGTGATTCATGTTTGGCGCAACCGCCAGCCAATGTCACGGGACAAGAACTGTCCTCTTGTCTGACTTGGTATAGACGTCGCTGGTTACGAGTATTCACCAGAAAACCCCAGGTAGCTTCCTATATAGTGCATCAGGTTTGCTAATTGATGTCAATCATGTACCCAATGAAATTTGTGGAAACCAGCACTTGAAAATTGTATTGTTCATAATCATATCGTTTGTAACTGCACTAAACTTGATTTATTTTTCATAGTTCTCACCCTTTTTCCTATTTGTTGTAATGATGTTAGAATTTTCCAGTGTTGAGTTTCATATTCCTATTGGACTTATTCTCATTTGAGACTTTCTAATTTCCCTGTATGTCGTTGTTTTTCTATCCCCCACCCCCTACATTTTAGGTGATTAATCTAGATCTAGATCATGAACGAACTTCCTATCTATTGTATCAAGTCCTTTGCGGTGTAAAACATTTACACGCAGCTGGTATCATTCATCGAGATTTAAAACCCAGCAATATTGTGGTGAAGCACGACTGCAGTTTAAAAATACTGGATTTTGGATTAGCTCGTACAGCTGGAGACAGTTTTTTAATGACTCCATATGTGGTGACTCGGTAGGATGATTTGTGCTGTTTTTTTTAAAAATTTTTTCATAATTTTTTTCACATTTAAGTTATGTGTGTTTCACCATTCCATGCTATTTTACGACTTGCTTTGTATAACTGCAACTCATTTGCACAGACAATAAATTAGTTCCTCAAGTACACGAATAGAATGTGAGGTTAATAATAATAATATTCCATTAGGCTACAAGCGAAACAGCGGAAAACTCAGCTAGTCGTTCGAAGTGAATACAGGAATAAGGCAAGGCTGCTTGCCTGTTATCACCCACGATGATATTCTTAATTGTAGTGGACTGGATTATGCGGAAGACAGTGAACGGGGGGAGTGAGAAGAGAGGAATACACTGGACGACTAATAAGAAGACTCTAGAAGATCTGGACTTCGCGTGTGGATGATATATGTTTAATGTCACACAAACTCGAAGACTTACAGGCGAAGAGCATCAAAGTGGCATAAGTGGCTGGCATGCAGCGAAGACAGGACTCCAGGTGAACATAGAGAAGATGGGGGCGATGAAAGTAACCAACCAATAGCAGCAGCAGTAGCAACAACCAGCACCAGTCACCATCAACGGGAGAGATTTAACAGAGGTTACCTCCTTCATTTATCTGGCTAGGAAGCATCGTTTCAACTACAGGCACCCGGAATGGATGAAGATGTCAAAGCCAGTCAGAATCGTAAAGGCAAGATACGCCTTCATCAGACTGAAACAAGTTTGGAAATCTTCTGCACTCCGCCTCAGCATAAGGAATAAGATCTGGATTTTCAACACCAATATGAAGTCGGCACTTCTATATACGGGTCAGAAACTCGGGGTGTCATGAAAAAGATTTCCAACAGGTTGCAGACCTTTATCAATAGATACCGAAGATCAAATGGCCAGTCGGACAGAAAGAATTAGTAACAAGAAACTCTGACTGGAAACAAACCAACCAAGAATCGATTGCTCACCGAATATGTATGAGAAAATGGAGATGGATGGATTGGGCATAGATTGACAAGGTCATCGAATAACATTGCGCTCAATGCAGGCCATCACTCGAGTGGAATCCAAACGCGAAGCAACGAGTGGGTCGTCCTAGGGTGAGATGGAGGAGGTCGTGCGAGTTGAAGGAGATGAGAGATTATGGTCAATCGTGGACCCTTGTGGAGAGGATAGCAGTAAGTAGAAGAAAGTGGAAATGTATTGTTGAAGCTTTATGTTCCACTTAGAACCCAAGGGAATAGTAATAATAATAATAACAAGTGGAACATACGGCTTCAACAGCACATCTCTATCTCTTGTTCTCTGGAGTCTTTTTTAGCCGGCTGCGCATGATAGCCCATCAGCTTTCATTTACTCGATGTCACCCTCGAACACCTAACTCGTTGCTTCCTATTCGGATTCCAGTTGATGAAGGCCTTGTGTGTGTGTGTGTTATGTTACTCCTCCATTCCATTTCCCTCGGTATATTTGTTGGGCAATAGGTTCTTGGTCGGTTTGTTGCGAGTTCTTTGTTGCTGAAACAGCAGAATCCCACCCTCGGCTGCACCTGGTGGTTTATGGCGGCGATTTGAAGCTTAGAATAACTAGTTCGAGTGATGCTGATGATTACTGCCTCCTTATCTCTAGACTTTACGTTCTAACATAGCCTTACTCTTGCTATCTGATTACATTTACCTTTATATATATACATCCAATGTAACTGACTCCAAAAGAGCAGCCAAACTGATGGATACACATAGGAGACGAAAAATTAGATAGTTTTATCCTTAAATCCCGAACGTAAAATTGGAGTGGTTGATTGTGAAGAGACAGAGTACTTCTGCGGCATCGAATTTTCCTTTTACTTCATTTTTAGGCGTTAAGTTATTATTTCACTGATGTTATCATCACCATGGAACTACATTTTTAAGGACAAGATCTTCTTCGGAGCTGTTGATGCATTAGTTTTCATTGGCTTCAAATGCATTTTCCACATTCAATAAACTTGTCTGGATAACTATTTTCACTCAGTAATTATCTAATAATCTCGAGTTCTTCTTTAAGATAGTCATTAGGGCAGATTGCTCTAGATCTCTGTGGACCAAACACTATTAAATTGCGTTTATATATTAAAGATACGAAGCCGAACAAAGGGGATTACTGACCAGTCCATGTGAGTTATCTTCACATACTCATTCTTTCCGTAGTCATAATGACGTCTGGAGGACGAAATTTCTGCATGGTAAAATTTATTTCAAGATACACATCGTTAAATTTGTCAAAGATATCCTTTGCTTCATTCTCTATTCTTCATAATTAGAAAGGGATATCATCCATGTAACAACAATCGAATTCTAGTTCAATAATTACACCTTTCAAGTGTTGGTTTGTAGGGATTTGATTGGTTATCGGATGTCATCATGAGCTGATCATTGGAAAACCTTGGAGTACTAGACAGCTGTTTCGTCCTAATGTGGGACTCTTCATCAGTACGAACCCACCGAGATTCGAACCCAGGACCCTCTGGTTACAAGGCGAGCTCGTGTACCATTAAGCCACTGGGACCCGATCCAATGGCCCATGAGTTCTAACTTCTGCCAATTCACGATATAGCGCAACCCCTAGCCAATGTCTTCGGCGAGTATTTGTCCTCACAGCCGATCTGCTGCACCCTACTGGTCACGACTTTTCACTAAAACCCCAGGTAACTGCCTACCTGAATAGGGCAAGTCGCTAGTGAGCATCTTATTGGTATTCTAGTATTGGTTGCCCTGTCAAGAGTCTATTCTGTCATTTTGTAAGGGAAATGCCAGCTAGTATATTGGTCTAAGTGAGACCCCATAGCAACACCAGTTTGTCTGTAGAATATTGTTAATAATATTGTTAATTATTCATCATCGATAAATTACACTTCATTTCATTTCAAAAGTGCTAGAATGAAAGAGATAATATGCATTAATATAACACTTGACTAATTAAATATCAGATAAATTAAGGAAAATAACACCGAGTTTATGAATTTATAGGTTTGAACGGCAGGTCAAGGCATCAGTAGTGGTTGACTGGACCTGTTCCTTCTGCCTGCACAGCTCCGGAGGATTTAAGCGAATTGCAGTGGTTCATGAATAATCCCCATCCAGACATTGATTGAAAACAAAACACGTAGTTCAGCCAAGAGTCTCTTTTCGGCGACGAATTCGTTTTCTTAACTGTACAATCGCAAATATATTTGTATATGAGTTATTTTGTATGTATATGTACATTAAGCTTGTCAAACACAAATACAATTGGTTATGGTTATTTTTACTAGACAGGTGAAAATTAGTAGGGAATACGAAATTACGTAAAAGTTCTAAATGATCACAAGAATTGTAAGCAATTAAAGAAACAGACAAGCAAACAAAATCAAGTCATCAAAAATCAACAAAGTTGTTACCATGATAGTAGAAGTGGTTGAGTTATTCTCTTTTGTATGCACAGCTCCGGTTTTTCTAAGTGAATGTCCAGAGCTTCAGCAATACAAAGAAGACGAAACTGTATTACCTTTGGGAGGTTATTTTTGTCTCTGTAAATTACATTAAGGCGGGAGGCGTTTGTTGAGATGGGATGATCAGTGTTAACCAGGCGTTGTTCAATTATCGCACTCCTTATAGCACCACTATTGCCTTTACGCAACCATGCTGGATTTTTGATGACTTAATTTTGTTTGTTTGCCTGTCTCTTTAATTGTTTATAATTCTTTTATTCATTTAGAAATATTACGTAATTTCGTATTCTCTGCTTTGTTCCTGTGTGTATCCTGAGTAAAACTCAATCATCAAACTATCCATGTTATTACATAACTTCTTTTTAACAACTGTTTGTGACAGCTCACCACCTTTGTTGTTATCCTAGTTTCATTAACACCCAATTTTCTTGACTATTTTAGTATTACGTAACTCCACCCAAAAATGACTAATTTACACCTGTTTAGTTAAAATAACCATAACCAACTGTATTTTTGTTTGACAAAATTTATGTACACATGCATACAAAATAACACATGTATATTTGCGATTGTACAGTTAAGCAAATGAATTCGTTGCCGAAAAGAGACTCTTTGCTGAACTACGTGTTTTGTTTTCATTAATTGCAGTGGTCTCTCCAATATGGATTGTTAGATATCTAAAGGCATTTGGCAATTTATTGGATGCCTGATAGATAATAGAGAAAGACTCTTCAATGCTAGCTGGCTCTCTGATCTGTTTAGACGAGGTTGTGTAATGATAGAACTGTTTGTGGTTTTAAGAACACCTTTATTTGACCACACTATCAGGTGTTCCCAAGAACGAAAAAATATGGACCTTATAGTTAGCGGCCAATATAACTGACTCCACAGGAATAGTTGAATTGATAGATAGAATTAGAGGTGGCTAACCTAGGCACCTCATCTTTCACTTTGGGAATCACAACTGGCTGTGTGAATTACGTAGGATGCAGCGTACCGGCATTAAACATTCTTTGAATCGATTTTCTCAACTTGTTTGTTATTACTTCACTAGGTAGATCACCTTTGAATTGAAGTCGTGTATACATAAAGGGATCTTGTCAACAGATACAGAAAAATCCTTTTCTACTCTCTATTGGCTATGTGTTTACTGATAAACTTTTCAGGGGAGCTGTTTTCAGTTAACGTGTCGTATACAACCTTAAGTTCGTCTTCAATCGCATCTTCTGAACAAATAAAGGGTCTTAACCTAATTTTTTTATATCGGAGTGAAGAAAAGCTGTGAAAATGTCTATGTATATTAACCGGTCTAAGCACTTTTCCTACGTAAATTCCTCATTACACTTTCGCCTGGTCTACTTGTCGGTTGCAGTCCATGAAAGGCAACTCTACTTTGGAATTCTTCTTCACCCGTAAATGTGATAGGTGAATGTGTACTTCATTGTATTGAGATGTTATTATGTTCCTGCCCAGATCATTTTCACAAAGATTGAAGGTATCATCCAAATATACCGACAATAAAATGGGAATTTTCACATAAGAGTTTTTTAAAGGACTATTTTCTAGTTTACTCAGAAAGAATTCTGCTAACACGTGATAACCACCATTAGAGAGTCCATTGCAACTCCTGTTCATCTGTTTGCAGAGTACACCACCAAATTAAAAATTTCACATTCATAGTACAAATTAGTAACAGTTCCTTAGGGATGGGACCCCAATATTTATTGACTTTCTATTTATTTATTTATTTATTCGCAGATGTAATTAACGGTTTCACCTAGAGAGAGGTATGTTTGTAAATAGAGAGATGTTTCTTATTTGTTTCCGCTTGGCACGGTTTTTCTATCACTCTTGTATTTTGTTCAAGTTTTTCGTTACTGCTGTTCTCTTCTTGTTTATTGACTGTGTTATTTCTCCGTCACAGTTTCACCCCCCCCTTTTGGGAATTACTCAGACTGTGTATTATCTTTTGCATATTTTTTCTTTCTCAAATATGTACAGTTATTATCGAGCACCAGAAGTTATATTGGGAATGGGTTATTCCGAAAATGTAGACATATGGTCAGTTGGTTGTATATTTGCCGAGATGGTTCTTGAACGTATTCTTTTTCCCGGTTATGATCATATTGATCAATGGACAAAAATAACAGAAGAACTTGGTACACCAGGACCAGAATTTATGAGTCGTTTAGAATATGCTGTACGTAATTATGTTATGTCAAGACCAAGAAATGAACCTCGACCATTCACTGAACTCTTTCCAGATGATCGTTTCCCACCGTCGAGCACTGTAAGTTCAAGTTCGAGTGTTTTTGTTGATGTTAATTCAGGCAAATGTATCGTTATGAGATCATGAAGTATTTTTGCCAAGTTGTGTGCTGTAAAGATTTCTTCGATGTTATGAAGAAGTGTCTACTATTAATCCCTTTGGTTTCCTAGTGGAACATAGGGCTTCAGTGCGGAGCACACCTCCATTTCACTCGGTTTCCTCTACACTGTTCTTCAACTGGCCTCATGGGTATTGGTGGAGCCAGCTAAAAGGACACATTGATCAGCAATCTTCGAATGTTTGGCATGCGATTCGCCACCTCCCGTCACATGTAAGAGGATGCTACAGGACTGGACGACATCAACTCCTAGCTTGAAGATAGGAGGTGAATTTGTGGAGCGTTGTTGACCACTTCACTTATTTGGGGAGTTGCATCAGCCAGCCCCAACGGGTTGATCGCTGACGAAAACTCAGCACGGATATAGAAGGTTCGTTTGGCATTTACCTGTCAACTTACACCATCTCTGGCTTAGTAGACGTGATATCCGGCTGTCGACCAAAGGGTGTGTATACTGCTCAGCAGTTCGCTCCGTCTACCTCTTTATGGCTGTGAGCGAGACATGGTCATTAGAAGCAGTGTTAGCTGACATAGGATGGATCAAGTTGGGAGAGAGAAAGCTAGTGGTGGTCAAAATAAAACACGGCTTCACTAGTCAATGAAGTCCACAACTGTTAGTTTAAGCCAGCCATTTAGGGAGGTTTAGACTTCCTGACTGCTTGGGGTCCTCGAGATTCTAAGAACCAATGGCTGGAGACAGACCGTGATATGGCTGAAAATCGTTCTCAATGGCTGGCTCAAATGCATTCACTCTTTGTGATTTATAATGTTTAGTAAAACCCTATTATTCTTCCATAATACTATTCTTTTTCCCTCACTCACACTTCTGTTTACTATCTCTCTCTTTTGAATCTCTCTTTACTCTCTTCTCTTGCTTTGTGTACTACATGGAGGGAGTTTGGCAACTCGAACTGGTGCATATCTGTGCAAAGTTCTACGTTGAAACCAATCAGTCAGTCAGTAACTCAATGTCTATAAGTCGTCATTTCTTCCTCAGACGATCTCCTCCATGTCACTGTGTATACTAGTTGATCGACAAGGTGACACACAAGCGCATTAACTCCCTACTGTCTTATCGTTTTTTTTATTCGACTATGTTTTTAGTTTTATTCTAACGACTCCTAAGAGGTAACTGTTTCTTTTTTCCACTAAATTTAACTCAAGTGAAATATATACAAATCAAGTTATTATTCTATTGTATGTGGTTCTAAGTTATATGACTCAGTGCAAACTATATGTAACTGGGTTTAGTTTCATGGATTATAAATACAATAGTTTCAGGTTAACTATCATGAGTGTAGTTATCCTTATAGTTCGATGAAAACGCTTCAATAGATCTTTTCTAATCTATATTTGTCTCCTATTAAAGCCAATTTCCTAGATTACTTCGAACACGCCTGACTGACTGATTTCCACATAGACTTTTGCACAGAACTGCACCATTTCTAGTTGTCATACTCCATTTATCACACAAAGACAGAAAAAAAAGAGAGAGAAAAGAAAGATATATGTAAACGAACAATTAATAAGCAGAAATATCAGGGAGGGGGAATAGTTAAATAATGGAAGAACTATACGGTTTAATAGATGTGGGAGATCACAAATAGTGATGAATGCATCTACGCCAGTCATTAAGAACGATTTTAAGTCATTTCACCAGTCGTATCTAACCATTGGTTTTTAGTCTGACAGCCATAAAGGAGGGAGGATAGAGAAAACTAGTGCTCAGTACACACTTCCGATCGATAGCCCAACAAACACGTCTGCACCAGAGATGGTGTAAATTGGCATACTGAATACTACATGTCGAGCCCAATCCATTTCTGCTCATAATCATATCAAGTTACTCACACAACTTTCCAACGTCGTTTATTTAATTCCATTATTTGATTGGTAGTAGTATTTTCCATATTTCCAGAATGAGTGATGAGTCATTCTTATTGCATGTCTTGGGTGTAGACTCGATGAACCAGCCAGGATTCAGTAATCAACTTCTCTCTTCATCTACCTAGATTACTTTTTAGAATTTTAACCCTCGCCCACCCTATTGTGTAGTTGTGTGTTAATGCATGCAGTGCAATAGCTGAGCTTTTTTCTAAACTACTTATCTTCTTGGGGTCAACCATTCTTACCTTACCTAAATTCCTATGTTCTGACAATCTGACTACCCCTGACCTACTAGTTTGACCTATGTAGTTGACCTGACAGTCATTGCAGGGTATTTTGTAAATTAAATGATTTTGTCTAATTAACCTACAGAGCTTGTTCTACCTGTGTCAGTTTGTAGGTTTAAATGGCACCCTAATTCCTGCGTTATTAAGAATCCTGCATAGGGTTTCAGATGCTTATATTCTTTCTTGTAAATCTTATAATTATTCGTTTCACCACTAATTTGCTTTTGCTTTTGGCCTTTTTCGATCTTCCTAATGAATTTTACAGGATAGTTATTTAACACCAACGCCTCTTCTATCTGTTTCATTTCATTGTTTAGGTTTTTTGTTGTACTACTTAGTGCTGCCACTTGGTTTGTTGGACACTTAAATAGGCCAGCCTTTACGGCTAACGGATGAGATGAATTAAGGTCTAAATATCTATTAGAATGCGTTGGCTTTTTTATAAACACTTGTGTTCAGTTTACCTTCTCCTGTTCGTTTTATTTTACAGTCTAACATTGCTAATTCTCCTTGTTCATTTTCCGATTCAAATGCGAATTTTATCCCCTCTACTAGTGAGTTTATATGTGTCAAGAAGCTAGAGATATGTTCTGCTTTTAACACTGTGAAAGTGTCATCCATTTATCTCCGCCATATTTTTGGAGTAGGATTAAATATATCAAGAGTAATATTTTCCCAGTAAATTGCTGCTCAAGATATTCAGATGACTCTGCATTTTGTCAGCGTCTTCACCTAGGATGATTATACCATCCTCATATTCAAAGCCAACAAGACTATCCCCTGGCAGCAAGTCAGTCCCTAAATCACATAAGTCGATTTTGGTCAATTCCTTTAGTACATCTCTGACGGCTAGCACCGGTTGTCATTACTTCAGATGACAACTCTCCGTAAGCATTTATCTGGCTGCATGAGTTTGAGTAAATTGCCTTGATTAGTGTGATGTACTTTCTCGGCACCCCCTTCACATCCAGGGACTGCCATTGTACCCCCGGTCGATGGAATCGAATTCCGCCTTCAAATCAAGTAATATGCCAATTGTTGGACACTGGAAAAATATGCCTATGTTCCGAAATCTGTCAAGGGATGAATATATGGTCAATACACCCTCTTCTTGACGTAAAGCCTGTTTGTCTTTCTCGTGTTTGTTTCTCCTGAGTGCCGTGTATGATTATTGAGCCTAAAATTTAAGATACCATATTAGGCAATCTAATCCCCCTGTGATTATCGCAGGAGGACTTGTCTCGTTTTTTGTGTACTAGGATAATCAATGGTGTATACCAGTCCAATAGGACTATCTCTGATTCCTAGACGTCGCCTAATACTTTAGTTAACCTAGACAGCAGTCTGTCATCACTGTCCGTAAACACCTCTGGAGTCAATTCCATCAGGTCCCCTTTCGCTTTGTCTCATTTCAGACTATAGACAGCCTTATTAACCTCAGTTATGGACAGAAGATCGATGTTTATATCCCATTTGGTAGGTGTTGAATGCTTAGTGAGTTGAATGGTGACTATAGGCCAGTTCAGTCAACTGTGATGATATATGGCTCATTAACATATGGACTTAACTTTCATGAAATTAGGCCTAGATTCGAATTTTTCTCTCTCTCTCTCTCTTCACCTTCAGGATGAGTTAGCGACACTGCGTAGTATCATCCACTAATCTGCATACACTAAATGTGGCTGGCTCTCAGTCTTTGTACATGCATAACTGAGTGAGTGGGTTCTCAGCCCAATTATTCAGCTGTGGTTTTAGTCTGTAGTTTTATGTACATCACTATATCCTTTATTATTATTATTATTATTGCTGTAGAACAACAACGTCTATTGTTGTTGTCGTCAGTTAATAATGTACACTTATAAAGAAAATATATAGAGGTGTATTATGTTATTGTTTTTTTTTTACCGAGGTAATGAATGTCTAAAAAAGTTGGTTGACTCAGTCATTCACTCACTCACTCATTCGCCTAAGGCATAATGCCTTGTATCGTCGTCGACCTTGAAGTGTTCTCATGACGACGATAAAGAGTAGACAATTATTTTATTGGATAATTGACAGTAATTATAATGACAATATATATACAGAGAGAGAGAGAAAGAATGTGAATCTAGGTCTGGTGGTGGTGGTGGTGGTTAACTTTATACATATATTGATTCATTAATTAATTGGTTTGTTGGCTTTTATTTTCTTAAGCGAAAATTTGCTAGAGTTATATTCAGACAGAGAAAGAAGACGAAGACTATATATATATATATACACTAAAACAGGGTGTGTTGCTGTTCTACTGTTGTGAACACTACTGGTATGTAGTGTAGTGCTAACATATAATACAGAAAATTGCATTCCTTTGTGAGTACTGTAAAGTATTATCGATTAGAATGGATATATATATATATATATATACAAAAGCTTTAACTTCGGTGATGAGGATTATTCTGTGTGTGTGTGTGTGTGTAGATTTTCATATCGTGTTAGACACGTGTTTGTACAACACCTGAGCTTATTATTATTATTGTTTTCATCATGTAACTGACCTGTTTGTTTTTAGTACAAAAGGAAACAGACAGTGAAAGAAACGTGATAAATCTGTACCTACCTACCTACCTACTTGTACTTTCTTTGTATATACTTGTGATGGCCATTCAAACTCACTTTTAAGTCAAAGTGACGGGATGCAGCATAAAGCCTGCTCTAATATCTAAAGAATTATAATAAGTACTGAATTGTAA